GTTTGACAGACCTCCGGGTTCTCGTCCTTTTGGGCTTCCGACGGCGCAAGGCGGCCCCAGGCGCCTCCAAGATAACCCCAAAACGGCCTCAAAGCACCCCAAGAGGGCCCAGAGAGCCTAACAGACGGCCCCAAGGCGGACCCAGAGACCCAGAGAGTCCCAAGACGGGACATTGAGACCCACATGCCCCAAGCGGCATGCCCCCAAGAGGACCAAGCGCCATGCCCCCAAGGGGACTCATAAGAGGCCCCCAGGAGGCCCCCAGCCACCAAGGAGCCTCAAAAGGGACCCGAGCCCTCCTCCTCCTCCTCCTCCTCCTCGCCGTCGTCGTCGTCCTCGTCATCGCGGTCGTCATCCTCATCGGAAACAGCAGCAGCATTATCATCATCAGCATCATCATGACTATCGTCGTAGTCATCCTCACCGTCGTCAGAAACGTCATCATCGTCATCATCATTCTCATCACCATCACCACCACCACCACCAGTCATAATCACCAGCATCATCATCAGCATCATCATCGTCATCAGCATCATCAGCAGCAGCAGCATCGTCACCATGCAGCAACAGCAGCATCATTATCGCCATCACCATCTTAACAAATCATCAGCATCATCAGCATCACCATCATCACCATACGCAGGACGACAAATTTTCCTCTTGAGGTGAGAATGGCGATGAAGAGTTCGCGAGATTACATCGGCGCCGCCGAACCCACGGCGTCTGGACGAGCTGCGTGCAGCAACCGGGAGGAGAGAAACGCATCCATGTTGAGTGGGACCCGCGCTCGCGGAAAGTTGATGGGAGTGCGAGGGACAACGCAGGGCCCATCATGGGAAGTTGATGACCGAACCCCCCTTCCCCCATAGAATCTTAGCATGGGCGGGTTCCGGGGTCCGCGGATCCGATTTCGTCCGCTTGCCCGTTTTAGTTCAATTATATGAATTTTAGACGGGGTAGATATCGGATCCGCCATATAAAAAAAGACTGGACGCGAATCCTGAAAATCCGAAATCGGATCCGCGCGGACGGAAACCGGACCCACCGACGCAGAAACGAACACCAAAATTGGATCCGCGCGAACCTCGTTGGATCCCAAGGCGGTTGTCTCTTGAGCGTCTGCTCAAGACTTCACAACGTCGTTCTGGGCCCACGAGGAAAAAACTGTGGTCCTTGGGGCGTCATCATCATCATCATCATCATCATCATCATCATCATCATCATCATCATCATCATCATCATCATCATCATCAATCCTCATCATCATCACCATCATCACCATCACCATCACCATCACCATCACCATCATCCTCATCATCAGCACCATCATCATCATCAGCACTACCATCTTAGTCATGATCAGCAGCAGCATCATAATCATCATCATCAGCATCATCAGCATCTTCATCATCATCGTCGGCATCTGCGTCATTAGCATCGTCATCACAATTAGCAGCATCAGAATCCCCATCATGATCAGCAGCATCATCATCATCTTCATCATCATCACCATCGCAATCAGCATCACAATCGCCAGCACAGTCACCATCACCATCATTAACATGATGGTGATCAGCATCACCATCATCAACAACAGCATCATCATTACCATCGTCATCATCGTCGTCGTTACCGTGAACGTCATAGTCATCATCATAATCATCATCATCATCATCAGCATCATCAGCATCATCAGATCATCATCCTCTTCGTCGTCATGGTCATCATCATCATCATCATCGTCAGCATCAGCATCAGCATCATCATCACCATCGCAATCAACATCAGAATCGCCAGCACAGTCACCATCACCATCATTGACATGATGGTGATCATCATCACCATCATCAACAACAGCATCATCATTACCATCGTCATCATCAGTGCCGTCGTCGTTATCGTTAACGTCATAGTCATCATCATCATAACCATCATCATCAGATCATCATCCTCCTCCTCGTCATGGTCATCATCATCATCATCATCATCATCATCATCATCATCATCATCATCATCTCAGCATCAGCAACAGCATCATTATCATGATCGTCATCAACAGCATCAGCATCAGCATCATCATCATCATCCTCAGCATCATCACCATCATTAGCATCATCACCATCATCATCGTCATCATCAGCATCGCCATCACTATCACAATCACCATCAGCATCGCCATCATCATTGTCAGCAGCAGCATCATCATCGTCATCGTCATCATCGTAATCATCATCACCACCACCGCTATCATCATACATCATCATGATCGTCGTCATCAGAATCACTATCATAATCATCATCAGCAGTAGCATCATCATCGTTATCATGAACGTCGTTATCATGATCATCACCATCGTCATCGTCATCGTCATCATAATCAGCATTCATCAGCATCATCATCAGCAGCATCATCCTCTCTTCCTCCCCCAAGTGGTCCCCCAAGGTGTTCCACAACGGCTGGGGGAGCACGTCGTCCAATAGCTTGGCCAGTCTTTGGCTCAGCGTGTGGCCACATGGGCGTTTCCCGACAAGAAGGGGGGGCGGCGGTGGTTCGCCGCAGGCGTCTTCGGTTCAGACTCTGCTGCAACGCTTGCGTCGACAGGCGTGCGCCATGTTCGAGATGACCATCACGCAGCGCCCTACGGAAGCCTCCCCCCCTGGATGCCCCCTGGGGCCCCCTGAAGGACACTGGCGGGGGCAGGCCATGGAGGTTTGCTGCAATAGGGCAAACACCGATATCGCCAAGGAATTCCAAAACATCTAGCGGCCCTCGTTTCTGCAGCCCCGGTGGAGCATCAGAATAGATTGGAAATCCTTGAAAACTTGGACATCATGGAACGTATCAGTATCAGGACCTCTTGCTTCTCTCGGGGGTCGACAGAAACCCCATTGTTCCCCCCTGATCTTGCTCCACTGGCGGCCTTCTCCCCGCCGTCTATCGCCCGTCGCCCGTCGCCCCGCCGCTGCGCTGCCGTCGCCACCGCCGGCAGATCCCCGTGGAAGCCTCCAGGGGCCCCGAGGGGGCATCCTGGACTAGAGGAGCAAAAAGGGGCATAAGCGTAACCTTTCTGAGGTCCGCGCGGATCTCCTGGATCGGCGCTGGACCCGCCTAGCGGCGCCTTCAGCGCCGTCCATGGCGCTCTCCGCGCGCCAGGGATGGGAGATCCAGCGCCGATGCAAGAGATCCGCGCGGACCTGCGAAACATTATGCTTGCTACGTTTTCCTCTCTGATGCCGATCGTCGTCCCTACCATCGACGTCATCCTCATCACCACCATCATCACCATCGTCATCATAATCATCATCATCAGCAGCAGAAGCATCATCGTCATCATCATCAGCATCATCATCATCATCACCACCACCACCATCACCACGATTATCATCATCATCATCATCATCATCATCATCATCATCGTCGTCGTCGTCGTCGTCATCATCATCATTATCATCATCACCACCACCATCATCACCCATCATCATCAGCATCATCGTCGTCGACATCAGCATCATCGTCATCGTCGTACGCGCCACCATCATCGTCATCATCAGCATCATCATCATCGTCGTCGTCATCATCAACAATATCATCATCAGCATCACCCTCATCATTATCACCATCATCATCACCATAATTGTTATCAGTGTCCTGATCCTCCGCATCATAATCATCATCATTATCTTCATCATCACCATCAGCAGCAGCAGCCTCAACACCAGCATCAGCAGCATGATCATCAGCATCGTCATCATCATATCAAGACCACCATCATCGTCCTCGCTGGCATCATGATCACCAGCATCACCATCATCATCGTCGTCGTCCTTGTCGTCATCATCATCATCATCATCATCATCATCATCATCAGCAACAGCAACATCATCAATATAATCATCATCATCTATATCATCAGCAGGAGAATCCTCGGCATTACCCTCACCATCAGCAGCAGCATCCTCCACGTCAGCATCACAGCGATTGACGTAACCACGATTGACGTCATTACCACCACCACCCGTATCATCATCATCATCATCATCATCATCATCATCATCATCATCATCATCACCATCATCACCATCATCACCATCATCAATCATCCCAATCATCAGCATCATGACCATCATCACCATCACCACCATCATCACCATCACCACAATCATTACCGCCATCCTAATCCTCATCATCAGCAGCAGCCTCGTCATCATCATCACCATCACCATCATTATCAGCATCATCGTTATCAGCGTCAGCGTCATCATCACCATCATCATCATCATCATCATCACTATCATCACCATACTCGTCGTCATCATCGTCAGCATGATCATCGTCATCGTCATCGTCATCGTCATCGTCCTGGTCATCGTGTTCGCCATCGTCATCGTCATCACCACCGTCATCGTTATCATCAACACCATCATCCTACTTATTCCCCCTCACTCCTCCTCCCCCTCCCCCTCCCTCCCCCGCCCCCTCCCTGCCCCGGCGCGGCCCCGCCTCAGATATGGCGCGAGCGCCCCTAGCTTACCGTCTCCCCATGGCCCTCCCCCCGTCCGCCTACACCGCCTGCTCCCCCGCCTCCTGCCCCCAACTCGTGCGCCTTCTGCTGCCCCCAGCCCAAGAGATCGGTCGATCGGAGTGTCCACAGCACACGGATTCACATGCAGCAGAAGGGGGGTAAGAGGACGCTCCTTCTCCGCCTCCCCCCATCGCCTGAGACCCTGGCATTGGAATCATTCCGCAACGGGCGTGTTCGCATGGTTTCGGGCCCTGGGACCCTCACGGATCGATCCGGCTCGATAAATGACGCAAGAGGATTGGGTCCGGGGCTCCAGTGGTGATTTCTTGCGATGTTGCAACTTTTTGCAGCATCAGATCTGAGGATCCGCCTCCCCCCCGCGATCATCCCCGTCGCCGCCGTCGTCAGCCTCGCCGCCGCTGGCGGCGGCACCCCGACGACGGCGGCCGCCGCCGGCGGCGGCGTGGCGGGCCGCACCTGCGCCTCGCCCAGCAGCCCGCGCAGGCGCTCCTCGAGCTGCCGCAGCCGCTCCTCGGCCTCGCCCTGGGCGCGCAGCGCCCCCTCCACGGCGTCCTGGGCGGAGGGATTCGTCGGCAAGCCCAGGGGCAACGGGCTCGAGGTTTTCGGGCGTCGGTTCGAGGTCCGAGGTTTTCGAGAGCTGTCGCTGGTCCTCGGAGGTTTTCCAGCCTCGGGGTACCTTCCAGCAGCTGCGCCTCGCCAAGAGCGTTCCGGGGGTGCCGGAATCGTCCCGAACGACCGACCCGAAAACCAGACGACGATAATCACTAAAGGGGCAGGCCTTCTCAGAAGGCGGCGGAGCTTCTCAGGAGCCCTGTGGACTCCTGAGAAGCAGGTCCCTCTCTTCGGCCTTCTGGGAAGCAGTTGTCTTCGGAGAAAGCTCAGAAAACTTGTCAGAAGGCCAGGGGCCCTCTGAGACTTCTGAAAAAGGCCCACCCCTTCTCACTTGCCCTTTGGGCTCGCCGCCGAAGAACGTCTTCAGTCGAACACGAAAGAACAGCACACACACACAAACCTACAGGAAGGAGGAATGGGCGAAGAGAAAGGATATGAAGACGTTACAGGTATTGGCGCGGGTCGTCGGACCCCAGCGGGGCTCCTTCGAGCAGGGACTCCCATCCGACAGCACACGCCCACAGCCCACACGGAATTCCACCCAGAGAAGTCGAGGGGTCTGATGTGTACAGGTGCTAGTGTTCGGTGGCAACTCGTGGGAGCCTCCATACCATTTTTTCGGCTCTTGCGGATCGACGCTAAATCGACGCTAAATCGACGCTAAATCGACGCCAATCGACGCCATCCGACGCCAAAGCGGCGCTGCCTCATCGACGCCCAGGCGCTAATCGACACTAGTCGACGCGAGAGACGGAATTGAGGAGGGGTACCAGGCTCCCACGATCTGCTGCCGAACTAATGTGAAGGGGCCCTGGGACACACGAAGCAATAGACACAAATAACAGGATTCCATATATATATATATATATATATATATATATATATATATATATATATATATATATATGTATATATATATATATATCCCCATATTTTCTGGGTCTATGTCTTCCCCCCCACTTCCCACTGTTTCCCATATGTTTCGGGAAATCGACGATTAAGTGTGTCTGTGTGTTGTTGTGTCCCTCCTGATAGTGACCATCTCGTGACAACCTGACCACGAGCACGATGCCCCCTCGCCGAAGGCCCGAAGCCCCACAGCCCTGCCCCAGACGCAGAAAGAGCCGAGGGGGAAAGCGAGAGGAGGCACAAGCACTTTTGGCGTCGGCGGCTGGACAGAGGGCGGCTGCGCTGGCTAGACGAGCGCGTTCCACTGCTCGCAAAGGGACTACTCGCAAATGGCCTGGATCCCCCGCGGGGGACCTACGAGAAATTACATCAAAGCAGACATGTGTTTTCGGACGTTTGCGAGTAGGCACTCTGCGAGCCGTGGAGCGCGCTCGGCGAGGCTAGGCAGAGGGTAGCTGCGCTGTCGATAAAGGCATGAACGGGGGTACCGGAGGAAGAGGGAGGAGGAGGGAGGAGGAGGGAGGAGGGAGGAGGAGGAGGGAGGAGGAGGGAGGAGGAGGAGGGAGGAGGAGGGAGGAGGGGCGCGGCCGAAGGAAAATGAGGACGGGGCGGGCGGCTCAGGGGTCAGGACGCCCCCCGCGCGCGTGGCGCGGCCGGCCCCGCCGCTCGGCGCGCGGCGGAGGGGGCACACACACACAAGTCAAACGCCGAAATCGCGCGGACGTTCCTAACACACGCAATTCAGGCCCACTCCGGCCCTCCGATCGGCTTGACCGTAGATGTTGCCCTCAGCCATGGCAGCGGGCTTTGTGAGAGGAGGCAGGCCTTCTCAAAGACGGTGGGCTCTCACTCTCCCCCCCGGGGTTGGCCGCCAGCGGTCACTCTCTTTTTGCCTGGTGCCACTCCCGTCGGCGGCGCGCCGAGGGGGGCAGTGAGAGGGGGCAGGCATCTCAGCAGGCGGCGGGCCCTCTGCGAGGCCTGTTGCGGCTTCGGAGAGGCCTGCGGAAGCATCTCGGAAGGCAAGGAGCCTTCTGAGCCTGCTGGGGACGGCCCGCCGCCTCTGCCTTCCCCCCCGTGGCGGGAGAACGTCCTGGGTCGTCGTCCTCCTCGTCCTGCGTTGATAGAGGGCGGTCGGCGCAGAGACGAGGACGACAACGGCCAAGGGCGCTCGTCGTTGTCCTGGGCGTCCTCGGAGGACGTCCCGGGGACGACGACCAGGTCGTGCAGCTTGCTGCGGCAGAGGTCTTTGGTCGAGACGTCCCGTCTCCATCCGGGCCTTGAAACCCCTCTCCCGGACAGCGCGGCTCTCCTGGCGCCCTCCCCTCGCTGGCGTTCAGCTGGGCGGCGCAGCTGATGCGCTGGTGCGGGCACCAGACAGATGAGCACTGCCAAGAGGCCACACGAACAGCTTTACACCACCTGCCCAGCCCCGCCGCCCCGGCCAGATGCCAGGGGGAAGGGGGGGGGGGGTGAAAGACCGAGCGCGGGCAAGGACGCCAGGGGGAGGGGAGGAGGAGGAGGAGGAGGAGGAGGAGGAGGAGGAGAAGGAGGAGGACGAGGAAAGGGAGGAGGAGGAGGAGGAGGAGGAGGAGGAAGCGGAGGAGGACGATGGGGAGGATACGGCACTGACTGGACACCGTCGCGCAGGGCGCCGACGGCCACAGCAGAATGGGGCGAGCCCAAGAGGCCTCCCCTGTGCTCTAGGGACGAGGCTCAACCCACCCAAGGGATCACGGTTGAGCACTCCAGAGCAAGCGGGCCTGGCGGCGGCGGCGGCGAAGCACGGCGGGCGGCGGGCGTGGGCGCGCCTGCTGTGGAGGAAGATGAGCAGGAGCCGCCACGCGGGGGCCGCGGGCGGCCGCGCGCACCGCCGCTCCGACCGTCCGCCCCGCCAGGCCAAACAAAACACAAGCGAATTGGCCGACCAGGAGTTTCCCAGGGGCCGAAGCGGCAGGAGGCCGCCCAGAAAGAAAGCCCAAGGAGCCCCGAGACCAGAAACCAGAAACGGGCTCAAACATAGGCAGCTCATCCCAGCCTTAGCCATGTGACCTCTGGGTCACTGGCGAGCAATGGACGAGCAACGGGAATTCGACGGCTGCTGGTGGCACCCTCGTCAGCTGGGTGAAGGCCTTCCAAAAATAACTTCCTGTTACGGGCAGCCCTCTCCGACAAAACTTGAGGGACAGTGCAATCCAGGAGCAGGTGGCCTGCAACTCCAGTAGTGTAAAAAGCCACACTTAATGCACAGAACAACCTGACCTGGGCTGACCCAACATCGGTGGCCACGCGCACATAAGTGCCCGACGATACCAGACGCGGGCAGCGGGCACGCAGGGACAGTAGACTCAGCCAGCGCGGGCCTGCCCATCTTCCTGCGTTTAGAGTTTGGCTCCAGGATTTGCCTCTGCGCCAAGGCCAGCTCATCGGCATCTGGAGCCAAGACGCGTTGAATTGGGGCAAAAGTGACACGCGGCCTCACGTCCCTATCATCAGACGAGCCTGAGCGAGCCAGAAAATCACCCATTCGCTTAGTGGGGGCCTCCTGCGGGACACTGGCTGGGCCCGTGAGATCCTGGGAGGAGTCCGCATTGGCCTGGTCACCTGCGACACATCCCTGCATCCGCGGGGGCTCCCTCGAACTCATGTCGAAAGACCTCGACGCCAGGACACGGGCAAAACAAGCTATACGAGATAGACGATCCCTCGCTCTCTTGGCCGTGGCACCTTTCATGCAGAAATTACACCTCCAAATGAGGCGCTTCGGCACTTGCGAGAAGGCGTGAGCCAGGTGAGAGGGAGGGGGGTGGGGTCAGCATCACTCTTGGCCTGCCTGGCCTGAGTGGGCTTCTTGCCCCGTCGCGGCACAGTAGTGACGCGTCCATGTGCAGCGAAGGCCAACAACGCTTCAACCTGCGATTTCAAAACCAACCGAACAGACTTCAGAGCAATCCGCATGGCCTTGACATGCCGTCGGGGAACCGAGTGCAAATCCCGCCCCCTGGTCGCCCCAAAGTCGGCCCATCGGTTCCCCCGCGCCAAGACGTCCATGCCTCGCTGGTGCCCTCGCACGTGTCGAACTTCTAAACTATCCGAGAGGCCTCCTAGATCGTCGATCTTGGTCCAAATTAGGCCCCAAAGATCAACATTGGGCCTAGAAGGATGTCTACACCAATGAGGTCCCCAGGTGAGGCCTTCGATCAGGCCCTTATAATCTGAGTATACTAATAAAGGCAAGACGGCTATCTGCAAAACCTGCAAGAAGGCATATAGCTCAGACCGCGGTGAGGACTGCACAGGCCCAGGGAGAGCACCATATACTAGAAGATCAATCTTATCATCCACCAGCTTAGCGAACCCCCATCCCGCACGAGACGCTTCGGGCCAGTACCAGAAATTATTACATGCTCCATCAGTAAATATGACGCCACTAGCCATATCTGCTGTACCGCATTTGACAATCCACCTGCCCGAGTTATCCTTCGGCGGCACTGGAGGAGGAGGACGACGAGGAGGAGGAGGAGGAGGAGGAGGAGGAGGAAGCGGAGGAGGACGAGGGGGAGGACGAGGAGGAGGAGGAGGAGGAGGGTGAGGGGAGGAAGCTGCTGACGATGTGACTCTGCTTCTGCCTCGCGGTCGAGTCTCTCTGCGCACCGCACGCTGCCCATCAGATACGAGCAGGACCGAGAGGCACACCCGGACGACGTCCGTGCCGTAGGCGACACAACTGCATCGTGTCAGCGCAAGAATGAAGAGGGGCAACCTCGTCACAGACAGGTCTGCAAACGGCAGTGAAGAATAAAAAATATGCAAAAAGAAATTAAATGTTCACTATATCGGCCCCTGATTATTGTTTTGATACTCCTCTTGTAGAGGGGCACGCCCGACTTAAGTGTAAGTTCGCGCACCGAACAGGTATTCCTGGCACGCGCGCTGCCCGCCCAGGCCACACGCTCACGTATTGTGCCCGGCCTGGCCCCTTCTGCCCCCCGTGGTAACTGCCCCTCTCCGCTGCTCCCTCCCTCATGACGCGCTCGCCCTTCTTCCGCCCCCCCCCCTGGTGGCTCTGCCCTGCGCGCGGCCCCCCAAAGGGCCGCGCGTTGGACAGGCCCCCGCCCGGCGCCCACGCCCCGCCGCTCCAGCGGATGGGCTCGCCACCGCCTGGCTTACCCTGCGGTCGGGCGACGCCCGCTCCGCTTGGCTATGATGCGTGCGCCAGCCAAGCCTGGCGGTGCTCCTCCCTCCCATTTTCCTCCCGCGCCGCCACCCGCCGCCCGGGCCGCCACTGGGCGCCCCCAGCAGCACTCCAACCCCTGCTGCACCGCCTCGGCAGTTCAGCATCCTGGGTTTCGCAAAGCAGCATGCTGCTGCAGGCCAGGCGCACTGGCGCAGCCCCTCCCGCGCTCCTCGTTCGGACATGTGGGCCGTGTTCCGCATCCAGCTGGCGCCGTTCCTCTGCGGCAAAGTCCGACGTTCACGACATCGTGATGAACCTTCGGATGCTGCCGCTCCTACCGCCGTGGGCCCTCTTCTGGCCAGTCTTCCTGACGCACTGGTTCACCTTGCTCATCATGTTTCTAGCGCCTGCAACCCTGGCTTCGGTCCCTGGGTGTGGTCGTGATGCCGTCCCGCGCCCATCGCTGGGACACGTCAGCCCCAGCTGGCCGCTCTGGCGCGCTCATCCTGAAATTCTTTCCGTGGTGGGTGCCCTCCTCTCCCTCCTGTCCTTCGCGGCCGCCCTTCCCCGCCAGTCCCCCTCTTGTAGCCAGATAATTCGTACGCCGTGCGCTCCCGGCTACCAAAGCGCGCGTGCGGATTGCCTCTGCGCGCTGCGACGAAAAAAATCTCGCTTTGTTACTGACGCGCCGCAGTCGAAGCTCTGTTCCTCCTCCTCCTCCTCCTCCTCCTCCTCCTCCTCCTCCTCCTCCTCCTCCTCCTCCTCCTCCTCCTCCTGTTCCTCCTCGACGATCGATGCTGCGGATCGATTCGTCGGGATGACCGAGACCCTTCGATACCCCCGCCTTTGGCCAACGCCAGGGGAGCGAAAGGAAAGTAGTAACCCCAAGTAGGCACCAAGAGGCGAGGCGAGGCGAGAGGAGAGCGGGGCGACGGCTCGGCGGGGACAACGGCACGGCGGGGACCCCAGAGCCCTTTTGGAAACCTGCCAGACGTGCCGCAGAAGCCTCGCAGAAGCCTGTCGGAGCCCTCTCGGAAGCCTCTCGGAGGCCCCGCGAAGGCCCCGCAGAAGCCTCTCAGAAGCCTGTCGCGAGCCTCTCAGGAGCCTCTCAGAAGCTCCTCTGAAGCCTCCCACAACCGCAGCCAGAGGCCTCTCAATCGCCGCCCCCACACCTCTCGGAAGCCTCCCAGATGCGTTCCACAAGCGTCTTTATCAGCCTCTCAGCAGTCTCTCAGAGATCTGGCACGAGCCTATCAGAAGTCTCTCAGCCGATGTTCAGAAGGCTCTCAGCTGCCTCCCAGAAGTCTCTGGATCGCCTCTCGGATGTCCCTCGGAATCCTTTCAGAAGCCTCTTGGAACCCTGCCAAAAACCTCTCGGAATCCTTTTGGATGCTGATCAAACGCATACGGAATAGCCCTTTGAAGCTTATCGGAAGCCACATAAAGCTCTGAAGAAAAGCTTCCAGAGAGCGCCGACGGCACCTCCAGAGGGCACCGAAGACACCTCCAGAGGGCGCCGAAGACACTTCTAGGTGTCAGCGCTTATGAAATCTTCGAAAAAGAATTGATGAGTGAAGCGCTGGTCTGACAGTTTCTCCTGCACCACCCTGAATGGGCACGGGGGTGCCTTGATATTCTCAAGACTTCCGAGCGAAGGTATCCTGGACAGAGTCTCGCAAACCTCTCCTCCCGGTGCGTCGGCGACACTGGAGCCCCCGAAGAATCCTGCAAAAACGCATGCGAGGACGGGCCCTTGGGCCTCAGGAGGATGCATGCTGGAGTCGCCCCAGTCGAGGCGCTCGCGCTGTTTTGAAGCCCCCCCTGTGCCGTCTGCGGAGGGCCTCGGAGAAGCCCCGGCACCCTCTGAGAAGGCCTGCCCGCTCCGTGGCTCTCGTCGTCTGGCCTTCGGGGCATGGCTCCGGTCTCCGGCGGCCGCTCGGGACGGCTCCGGCACCCACGGAACGCTCTCGGCGAGGCGCAGCTGCCGAAGGTACCCCGAGGCTGGAAAAAAACGGCCCCGAGAACACGCGAAAACGTTCGAACACCTCGGACCTCGAACCTCGAATCGACGTCCGAAAACCTCGAGCCCGTTGCCCCTGGGCCGCAGGCACCAGCGCACGTCGAACAACACGCACCACATCCGCAGGGGGGGCGAGGGGGGCTATGGGTGCGTGTTGTCAGATGGGGGTCCGCGCTCGAACGGGCGCCTCCCCCAGGTTCCTACCACCTGCACCCATGCCCATAGCCAGTCCTCCTCCTACCCCCCTAACGATGGGTATGAAAGTGTGATGTTCGTTCGACACTGCACGTTCTGCCCTCCTCGGCATCCGCTGCCGGTCCTGCTGCAGCCGTGAGGCGGCCTGCGTCGTCTCCTCCCGCAGGCACCGCAGGTCGGAGCCCAGCCGGGCGGTCTCTGCAGCCGCGGCCTGGCCGGGGCCACCGCGGCAAGAGCTTTTCTGTGGGAATCTGCGCAGAAGGAGCCCAACGGGAAGACTTGCGCTTGGTAATGCCAATCTGGCCTGTGCAGGGGGGTCCACGCAGTCTTGCCTACGACGCCTGCGCCCCCTGAATAATGAAAACGATCCCGGCGCAGAGCACCAGGAACAACGAGGCGAATTCCCGTTGGCATGGGGGGCTGCGGTGCTGGGGCCGCGAGGGAGGGAGGAAACGGGGCCGGTCTTGACCCCCAGGCCAGATTGGGCGGCCAGTCTGGCCCGCATCCTGGCGAGATTTCAAGGACGAGTTAGAAGAAGATCGTCGTTCGATACTTAGTCTGCCTGCGGCGGCGGCACTCGGGCGCCTCAGTGCTGCCCTGAGGGCACCACAACGACTCGTCCACAGCCAGATATCTCAGGAGATCTGCGGAGGTCCACACAGACGTGAGATTTTTGTTTCTCTGGACTTGGGTAAAGCCCTTATTCCAATCGGAGCATTGACCCAGAGAAAACTGGCTATAGAGCAAGGTCAGGGCAAGTGCAGGGCAGTTGCGCTGAAAACACAGATGGCCAGGCAAGGAGCTTGAGATAGATCCCCCCGCGTTATCCTACCCATCCATGTTCCAGCACTCATTGAAACACTCCCTCGGCCTCGCATCGAGAGGCATGCGAGGTCCATCCCAGCACGGTGGGTTTGCAACACTATAGGGACCAATAGTGCCGCGCCCCTGGACCCCCGAACCCTTATTCTAGATCCGATCGACGACGGCGAAGTGAAAGGGGCAGAGAGAAACAGATTTCCCATAACAGCGTTTGTACTTAGAGGTTCTTGTACATTTTCTAAGGAACTGGGTCTGGCTGGCTGTCAGGCGGTTCCGTGTTCGCCGTCGCAGCCCCGTCGCCGCCCCGTCGCCGCCCGTCGTCTGGCGGTCTGGCGGTTCAAAGCTCGCCGTCGCCGACCCGTCGCCACCTTGTCGCCGCCCGTCGCATGGGCCTGGGTGGCGATCTGGCGGTTCCGTGGTCGCCGTCGCCGCATCGCCGCCGCCCCGTCGACGCCCCGTCGACGCCCCGTCGACGCACAGTCGCCGCATAGATTGTGCAACATTGTCTGCACCACGTGACCACGTCGATTGCACAACAGAAGTTGCACCACATTGATTTTCTCTTCGAAATAGAAGGTTGAGTTACAAGCCTCACTATCCGATCGTGTCGGCACCCCGCGGGGTGCCATAAATTACATATGGCCCTCCCCATCGTTCATACCCCACATGATATCATACCATTCGCGGAAATGCCACATCGTCCCCCCGAATGAGACGAGACGCGCACGTTCACTTATCAAACACAAACTCTCTGCACAAAAGCTTCGCCAAATCCACACACGCGCGCCGTCGCGCGCGCGCATGCCGCAACGATTCAAAAACCGCAGGTTCCGTGAATGTGGTCAGAATCGAAGATTCCGATGGCACCTGAAAGCAACAGTTTTGCAACAAATAAAATGCGCGTGCGCTCTTGCGGATCCTTGGGAAAACCACGAGGTGCTTGGTTTTGAACATGGTCACTACATGTTACCAAGCGGGTCCCTCGCGCGCGCAAGTCGAAAGTATTCACGTTGTTTCGCGCGTTTGCTGGGGGGGCACGATCGCTATCAAATAACCCCATGCAAGCCACTGCCGCCTGTCGGCCGCGCGCGCCCGTCGACACGCTCCATGTTCCCATAGTTTTCGTCACCAACACGTGGACGCCGACATGGTCGTCGGCGCAGTCAGCATCGGCGCCGTCAGTGGCCTCGCCGCCGTCATCGCCATCATCGCCACCAGCTCGCCACTAACATCATCGCGTATGCTGTTGTCGACGCCGGCATGATACCGCGCCCGCCCGAATCACCGACTCGCAGTGAAGCGCCCGCGCGCCACCGCGGCAAGCGAGACCCGCCAGGATCCCCAATAGTCAGCGCCACCACGGCCGCAACGTTCGCGCCATACTAGCTGGCCGTTTTGTGCGCAAACCTGCGCACGCTGGCGCGGCCGCGGCGACGCGCCAGCCAGCGCCAAGCACTCATCGCAATGCCCGCCGCATGGGTTGTGCAAACCAAGTTGCGGGCGGGCGGGCGGGATGATTGCGCGAGCAGTGGAGTTGATTCACAGCAAAGCACGATTCATTCTCCTCTCAAAACGAATACTAAGAACTCCCCCAACCAGGAGTTATCGGTTCACCCTTTTCGTATTCCAATTTACATGTGATTTTGTCCCACCGTCAGACTGTACGCGCATACCCTGTATAAAAATCATAAAAAATCCGTGCAGATCCTCTTCCAGCGATTCCTCCTCTCCCTTTTGCTCTAGTATCATCCCTTTTCTTCCTGTTCCTGCCTCACCGCATTCGATTGCCTCCGCGGCGATGGGCGGGGTGTGCCAACATCCAACGAGCAACCACCTGACCGACCCCCAAGCCACCCCCCCCCCTGAATTTCCAAGATCTGGCACCCGAACGCCTTTTCGAAGATGACGCGGGCGGATGCAATGGGGGGAGAGGGGGAGGGGGCAAGCTAGGTACGCGAACGTCAAATATGACATCATACCCCACCCAACCCATCCTTTACAATTGCGTAGATTTTCCATGTTTTCACCCAGTCGGATGTCGAACAGGGCAATGCTACCGAGAGAATACGCGAGGCATGGTATAGCACGGCATATAGTGGCTCGCGTCGAAAACGCGAAGTTGTTCGACAACACGAAAAACAAAACCAGAAATCACACAGGACGGGAAATTCAAATGGACGGTTTGGAAAGCGCGAAGCGCAAACTGAGATCAGCGCTGCAGCGGAAGCATTCGAAGGACCAAAACCGCGGAAATGAAATCAACGCTGCAGTGGGAGTAACGATTTGGAAGGACGGGAAGCGCGGAAACGAAGCCAACGCTTCACCAGGAGCATTGGGAGCACCGAGACAATGAAATGAGACCAGCGCCACAGCGGGAACATGGTTTGGAAGGACGGAGAACGGGAAAATGGAGGCAACGGCGTAGCGGGAGCGCCATTCTGAAAGAACAGAATACGTACGGAATGGAAGAACACATATTGATTATAAAGTCGGCGACATCCTGAGTGAAGAACAACACGCGGAGGAGGTCAAGACACCTCACTGGCGTCATCGGGAGAGAAAGGAAAATAGTATTCATGGTGCGTGATTGTAGAGGGGGAAAGGGAGTGTTCCAAAGGAAAACAGATGTGTCTTAGCCGCTGCGTGGAGGCTCGGGCCCCTGACACTGGAGGCTGGCCAGCTTGACGCCAGCGTGGATGAGGAAAGACATGATGCCAACAATGGTACCCCAATCCCTTGATGTTGTAATATGTGTGTAAGACCTGCGCATCAAGCTCTGGCCCGACAGCTGGGGCGTCGTCGATAGAACCGTGCACCGCGAGAGCCTGAAACTGCCACGCCCAAGCCCACTTCCCCCCCAGACGTACAAAGAGTGAGGGAGGAAAGAAGACGAGGAGGAAGAGGAGGAGGAGGGAGTAAAAGTTTGAGGATGATGAGGAAGATCAGCGAGAGGAGAACGACGATACAACAGGAAACTGCTCGAGGTTGACGAAGAGAAGGAAGATGACAGCGCCTGAGACTCCGAGGAGAATCAGGACATGGATTCGGCACTATCGCTTCCAGTGGAAAAGCTTCATATACACGTCGCGATGGTGTCAAGCTCACATGCAACGATACGCCCAGCCAATTTCACCTGGCCAACCCCCAACAATCCAGCCAACCCTCTTGGGCCAGCCCCCTCCGGTCAACCCTGGTTAGGGCACTTCTGTCCACGAACCTTGAGATACAGCGTCGCGGCGGCGGCGATCGTCGGGGCGCCTCCGCGCCCGCGCGCAGGCGCGCCGCCGAGGCCTCGGAGAGAGCGAGGACCAGCTCGTCGCCCTGGCGCGAGGCCTCCAGCAGCGGCCACAACGGGCCCTCGCCGGAGGCCTGCCGCCACGGCGCCGGGCGTCGTCGGCGTCGTCGGCGTCGTCGGCGGCGTCGGCGGCGTCGGCGTCGGCGTCGTCGGCGTCGTCGGCGTCGTCGGCGTCGTCGTCGGCGTCGTCGGCGTCGTCGGCGTCGCTGGCGGCGTCGTCGGCGGCCAGCAGGGGGCCCTCGACCGAGGCCCGCCGCCGGGCAACTCCGCCGTCGCCGCCGCCGGGGCGCTGCCGATCGAAGATCGGGGGTCGGAGGCTCTAATCTCAGGGGCGTCCCGAAGGGGGGCGTCCAAGAGGGGGGTCGGCAAATCATGGCCCGAGGCACGTGCACGGACGAGGGGGGGAACAGGGGGGCGCATGAGAAGAAGAAGAGGGGCCATGAGATCTTGGGAGATGTCATGGCCCCCGCCAAAGTACCCCCCCCCTAGTCATCAACCTCTCAAAGACTCATGGACGCCCCCGAGCTCTTCAAGGCGCCTCTTGACCCCACCGGGCCCCTGGGGGCCTCCAGAGGCCGCCGCAGGCCGCGGGGGACCGACAGCGTGACACTGCTCCCCTCCAGCACATCAAGAGGTTCCTGTTGCTGCCCAGATTTCCCCTGACTGGTTCGTGTCGTGACTTGCGCGTCGGTTTCTGACGCCGCGTGGATCGGCCAACCTCGAACGATCGCGGCTTTCCGATATCGCGGGACGTTCGTTGTCGGCCGATTCCGACCCGCTGGCGGCGTTCAACCTTGAACGCCTGCGCTGGGGTCGCGTCCGCGTCGACACGACACGAACATACCGGAGGGTAGAGGGCGGAAGACGGGAGGGGGAAGGGGTAAGGGGAGCAGGACGGCAAAGACGACGAAGATGGTGGGAAGAATTGGAGGGAGGGAGGACCAGGAAGGGGGAGGAGCGGGAGAGGGAGAACGGTGATGAGAATGATGGTGAGGGACGAGAGGCGTATGATGATGATGCGCCGCCGCCGCCGCCGCCGCCGCCGAAGATGAAGATGAAGATGAAGATGAAGATGAAGATGAAGATGAAGATGAAGATGAAGATGGATATGGTGATGAAGATGAGGATGAAGATGAAGATGAAGATGAAGATGAAGATGAAGATGAAGATGAAGATGAAGATGAAGATGAAGATGAAGATGAAGATGAAGATGAAGATGAAGATGAAGATGAAGATGAAGATGGAGATGAAGATGGAGATGGAGATGGAGATGGAGATGAAGATGAAGATGAAGATGGAGATGGAGATGGAGATGGAGATGGAGATGGAGATGGAGATGGAGATGAAGATGGAGATGGAGATGAAGATGAAGATGAAGATGAAGATGAAGATGAAGATGAAGATGAAGATGAAGATGAAGATGAAGATGAAGATGAAGAAGATGAAGAGATGAAGATGAAGATGAAGATGAAGATGAAGATGAAGATGAAGATGAAGATGAAGATGAAGATGAAGATGAAGATGAAGATGAAGATGAAGATGAAGATGAAGATGAAGATGAAGATGAAGATGAAGATGAAGATGAAGATGAAGATGAAGATGAAGATGAAGATGAAGATGAAGATGAAGATGAAGATGAAGATGAAGATGAAGATGAAGATGAAGATGAAGATGAAGATGAAGATGAAGATGAAGATGAAGATGATGATGAAGATGAAGATGAAGATGAAGATGAAGATGATGATGATGATGCTGATGATGATGATGATGATGATGACGATGGTGATGATGACGATGATGATGATGATGAGCATGATGATGATGATGGTGGTGGTGATGATGATAATGGTGATGCTGATGCTGATGCTGATGATGATGACGATGGTGATGGTGACGGTGATGCTGCTGATACTGATACTGATGCTGATGCCTGATGCTGATGCTGATGCTAATGCTGATGCTGATGCTGATGCTCATGCTTATGCTGGTGCTGATGCTAATGCTGATGCTGATGCTGATGCTGATGATGGTGAGGGTGATGATGATGATGATGATGCTAGAGATGATGATGATGATGATGATGATGATGATGATGATGATGATGATGATGATGATGATGATGATGATGATGATGATGATGACGATGATGACGACGACGACGACGACTACGACGAGGACGACGACGACGGACGACGACAACGACGACGACGACAACGACGACGACGACAACGACGACGGACGACGACGACGGACGACGGACGACGGACGACGGACGACGGACGACGGACGAGGACGACGACGACGACGACGACGACGACGACGACGACGACGGACGACGGACGACGGACGACGGACGACGGACGACGGACGACGGACGACGGACGACGACGACGACGACGACGACGACGACGACAACGACGACGACGACGACGACGGCGACGGCGACGGCGACGGCGACAACGACGACGACAACGGCGACGGGATGAAACAGATGGTGTGACCCACTGCAGCCGACACTGCTGAAAGGGCCCCGCGTGACCGCGCACAGACGGACCACCTCCTCTTCGCGACTCTGCCGCCCCTGCCTCCCGCCCCTCCTCTGTGCGCAGGGGCGCGCCTCCTCCTCGTCCTCATCCCCCCTCACGGCTGGTGTGACCGATGCTCCCTCAGGTTCTTCTCGTCACTTCCGCTACTCCTCCGAGGAAAGGAGGCCCCGCCTCCTGCTGTGACCCCGAGCGTGGCTGTGGCAAGTTTTGCGGGGGGAGGGGAGGGGGTGGGGGGAACAGCATTGCCATGAAGGGAGCGGGTCCTGAAGGAAACGCGCCCTGACCAGCCCGGGGGCACTCTGCCAGACCTGTTTCTCATCCCGAACCGTTTTGTTTAGTGCCCCTGGGGCCCAGGGAGCCCAAAAACGGCGGAACAAAAAAAAACATACCGCTTCCCTCGGGGCCGGGTTGCTGGGGGCGCCCACGTGGAGCAAGGGGGCGGCGGCCTCTAAGAAGATGGCGAGGCATCTAAGATGACAAGAGCGGGGGCTTCTTAGACGCCCTGCCTCTAAGATGCCTTCTTCGAAGCCTCTGGGGCCTTCGAGGAAGGCCCCCCCTGCCTTCTTAGAAGACCGCCCCCTCACGCCACTCCCTTGGTGGCGCCGCCGACCGCTTGCTCCACGGCGGCGGCAGCACCGTCCCGCTTCAGCCGCAGGGGACGCCAATGCCCAGCCGCCCCTGATTTCCGCTCTTGCGGGCCGCTGTCCACGCGGCCCGCTCTGGGATATCGAGGAGGAGGGGGAGGGAGGAGAAGGAGGAGGAGGAGAAAGGAGGAAGGAGGACGGAGGAAGGAGGAAGGAGGAGGAAGGAGGAGGAAGGAGGAGAAAGGAGGAGAAAGGAGGAGGAAGGAGGAGGAGGAGGAGCAGGAGGAGGAGGAAGGAGGAGGAGGAAGAAGGAGGAAGGAGGAAGGAGGAGAAAGGAGGGAGAGGAGGAGGAGATCTAAAAAAAACTGCCCTCCGCCAGCGAAGCCAACGCCGCCGTGCTGCTCCCGCCGGCCTTCTGCCGGCCTTCGCCGAGAACGCGAAGCCACGCCGTCGATCCCTCGAGAGCGAGGGCCCTGTCTGGAGCGCCCCAGACGGACCCCACGGGCACAGCTCGATGGCCGCGAAGGGCAAGGAGGCGCCAGGCGGCCCCTGGCCCGGCCCTCCCCGCTCCTCCTCCTCTCCTCCTCCTCCTCCTCCTCCTCCTCCTCCTCCTCTCCTCCCTCCTCCTCCTCCTTCCTCTCCTCCTCCTCCTCCTCCTCCTCCTCCTCCTCCTCCTCCCTCCTCCTCCTCCTCTCCTCTCTCCCTCCTCCTCCTCCTCCTCCTCCTCCTCCTCCTCCCCTCAGCTCCTCCTCCGCCACCCCCCCGCCCGCCCGCCCGCCACCCGCCCGCCCGCCCGCCCGCCCGCGCGCGCGCCTGCGTAGTGAGCTCCGCCCACGGCCCCCGGGCATGGCTCTCGCCTCGGCGTGGGGGAGCGGGCCAGTCCGTCCGCGGAGCTCTTGGGGGCAACTCGCTCGTCAGCTCAAGGAGAACATGCGCAAAAAGCAGGTCAACTGTGACGGGATAACGGGGACAGCTCATGCTGAGAACAGTCTCTGTTCCCCTCTCCTCATAACCCGTGGAGGAAGAAAATAATTGGGAGGGAGGGGAAGGAAGAGAAGGAGGGAGGCGGACGGCTCACCCATGCCTCTCCCCACACGCCTCCCCACACCCCTCCCCCGCCATCCTCCCTCACGCATCAGACCTCCTCCTCCTCCTCCTCCTCCTCCTCCTCCTCCTCCTCCTAATCATCCCCCCTCTCTCCTCACAATAAGTATGCATTCATGTGTATATACATGAGTATGCATATGCACCTATCGATATAGTACACAAATGCATATACGTATAGGCATGCATACACACATGCATATCT